AAAATTTCCTAAACTAACTTTCAATATAGTGAAAAAAAGTTGTAAAAATAGTATGCTATAAAAGTAAAAAAAATCAAGAAATTGTTGAAAAGTAGGATGTTGTAATGAAACAAAAACAAAAAGTGCAATGTTGTTTTTGTTGGCATGGATGCATATGTGAGACAAAAACAGAAAGTAAATTTCTATTTCTATTTTTGCCACACATGAAAACACATAGAAATAGAAATTTACTTTCTTAATTAACCATTAGTGTGATGTGTAGAAGAGGTTAAGACTCAAATGAATTCAATTTCATTGAAAAACTTGTCATTATTCCAAGTTTTAAAGACAAAACTGGACCTAAATCTAAAAAAACAAATTAAATGAATAGGGAATTATATTCAAAAAGTTTTGGTTACTTCCGTCTTTACCTAATTGAATATGATATAAAAATCAGGGATAAATAAAGTGGAAAAGAAGAAGGCAATGGAAGGCCAACAAAATAGGATGCATGACCTGACAATTTTGCTTTATAAGATATGAATTCATCTCATTACTTTCATCAAAACATATAGATGAAATTAAGCAAACCTTGTTAGTAGCTTGTGACAGTAAAAACATATAGAAGAAATTAAGGAGATCTTGTTATGTCCTTTTGAGTTTTCCTACAAGTACAATCTCTTTAATATCAGGTAAGCTTTAGGTAGTCTTTCAACACTGATGTCACTTGGACAACAAGCTCACTCTATTTCTACTTTTCATGTTCTGCAGGGTACTGTTAGATGCCATTTTATGCATATTTTAGTGTAGTTTTCATTAGCATTTACGATAATATTTTGTACGTTTGCATGTAATTTATTTAAATAATGTTCAGCTCATGTATTCTATTAGAATTCCCGTACTGCTCATGTTTTTATGTCAATTTCAGATAGTTCGAGTGGAACAGTGCTTTGGCAGCAGTTGGATGCGCGTTTGTAGATTAAAATGGAGCTTGGGACTTATGAAGGATTATGAGGAATGCTTTCAAGATGCTTTGGTCAAGAAACATTCGATCGAATTGATCACACGAAGATAGAATCTGCAATCTAAAGTTAAAAGATGTTGCTAGCAGCTTTGACCCTCTGTCAGTATTTTGACCATATCTCATGAACCGTAACTCCGATTGATGCGATTCAAAATGATCTAAAAAGTAGACGAAATTTCGGACGTCTAAGGCAAAACATGGTATTGAAACTATGGTCCATGAGATTGCATGGGGCCTTTATGCGATCGCAGGTCGCAGCTTGTCTTTGAGGTTTTTTTGTGCCAAAAATTCATCCGCGAGTGAAAATTCAAAACATGCGATCTCAGGTTGTGCCCATGCGATCGCAGGTTGGCCAAAATTTCTCGAAATGGTATTGTACTTCATTTAAAAGGCCCGTGACACGTTTTCGGTAATACATGCGATCACATGTTGTCTACATGCGATAGCATGCGCGTCGTTTTTGCTGCTAGACATATAAATAGACCCTCATAACCTTCCAGTAACCTAAGTTGGCGATTCCAGAGGTACCAAACGACGAAAATATGATTTTGGAGGTGTTTCTTCTCCGATTTCAACGATTTCTGAAGATCTGAAGACTGTGGATCATCTCCTTCAAGTAGATAAGTAAGATTAGTTGTTTGATGTCTCTTTTCATTTGTTTTTATCAGATTTTAGCCATGTCTGGCTAAAACCTCAGTTTTCAGTTCTGCAAAGACAAGTACTTTTCATGTGATTGATCATTAGATCTGGTTTTTGATTTGTGTTTCTATCTAGATTCTTCAGTTTTGTTCTTAATGAATGTTTGATTTTGATTCTTGTTAGTCTCATCACCTAGCTAGGGTTTTATCATTCCAGTTAATCAGTTAATAGAATCCGTGATTGTTTTTGTCAACTGGTAAAAGTAATAAGTAATAAATCGGTTCCATGTTTGGGTTTTGACTTTATTATAAACTGTAAAATCATATCTTTACGCTTCCGAGCTTGTGAGAAGTATTGAGTATTGCTGGGAATTTTACAAAGAACTTAATGCAACTTTTCTGATCTTAATTAAGAGCTTGTTTGATTAGACAGTAAAAAGTTAGGGTTAATTGAAGAACTTATTTTGGTTAACTAAATAAGGTAAAAGAGATTATACTAGAACTTGTTAGTTTTTCTCAGTACCAGCTTAGATAGAACGCATCTCAAATAATCATATCTGGGTTAGTTGCATGATTAGGAAAGTCGCAGCAGAGCTGGAACCGCTTTTATTATTGATTTTTGTTTAATTTAATATCACAACATTTGTAGTTTTAGTTTTTAATTAAAACCCCCTTTTATATTCTGTTTCTTGACTAGATGTGCCTGATGCAAAAATGCATTGACCATTAGGTTGTGTCCCTGAGGATTCGACCCTGCTTCCCTGGCTATATTTTTAGTGCAACCAGCAGTGATAATTTATTTGCTTAATATGCGTGCGACAGCGTGTTAACATATACTTTCATAATTTGATGGTGTATAGCTTTTCAGCTTCAAATAAGAAAGATGCACCTGTAAACTTAGATAAATCCATAAGCATCACATTGAAATAAAATTGTAACGCCCGGTTCCTGGTACGTATTTAAATAAAAAATATTCATATTTGCTAAGGGACTCGACGAGTTGGAGGCCCCAAACTCATCGAGCAGGAATTGGATATGTTGGACGCGAGACTTGAAGTCTACTCGACGAGTCGAGGAGCCTCGACTCGACGAGTAGGTCTGCCAGAGTAAAACCCTAATTTTCAGGGTTTGCACCCTATTTAAACACCTTAACACCCCCATTATGGCCTCCCTCATCGCCTCCCTTAGTCCAGAAACCCCTAATTCAAAACCCTAACCCATTTGGAGTGTTCTTGAGCCATTGTTGTGTGTTTTTGGTGGTTTTGAAGCTTGAGAAGGAAGAGGAAGCTTGGGAGTTCAAGAGGAAGCAAGTAGATCCAGAGGTTGTGTTCTATTTCCAGCTCATTTGAGGTATAAAGTTTATATCTTGACCATTCATCTATTAGATCTCTTTTTGAAGTATTCATGGATGCAAGCATGTTTTGGGGTTTTGACTTCAGATCCAGGGTCGTTGAGGGACTCCATGACATAAAGGTGCCAAATTTATGGCCATGGGAGTCCCATGCATCCTATGAACCACATTTTAGGGCTTTTTGAGCTAAATAGCCCATGCATGAGCGTAAAGTTTGTAACTTTACGTGTTATATCGACCCTAGGAGGTCAGATCTATGTTTTGGATGCGTTAAGCCCGAATAAAATCGACTGGATAGTTTTGGATCATGGGGGACTCGACGACTCGTTCTTAGGACTCAGCGAGTTGGGTTGTGGTTCCCCAACCTTTTCTGTTACTTAGCAAACTTGTTGAGTCTAGGAGATGACTCAGCCAGTTAGACGTGTTTTGGACTTAAAGGTCAAGAACTCGACGAGTCTAAGGATGAACTCAGCGAGTCAGTGAGCAAATGTCCCGACTGTATGAAGGAGAACTCGACGAGTCCAAGGAAGGACTCGACGAGTTCAAATGGAAAGTCCCGATTCTGTCATAAGGAGAAACTCAGCGAGTTAGAGGGTAACTCGACAAGTTAGATCGCGGGTTCGAGATTCTCTGAATTATGGAACTCGACGAGTTGATGGACCAACTCGGCGAGTTGAGTTGACCAGGGTGTTGACTTTGACCTTGACCATTGACCAGAGTTGACCCTTAAAGGGGTTATAAGTTTGAAAGAGTAATTAAAAGAGATGTCATGTGTAGGAGTTTGAGGAGAGTTGATCCCAACATCGCGGACAGTTCAGTTAGTGCACGGCATTGAAGTGAGTTACCTTCCAGTAGAAGTGGGTCTAAGGCCATAATGTCGACCCACTAGTAGGATTTGTTTGTCAGATAATTGTCTTTGTGATAGTTATCTGGGTTTGCCACTATCTGTTATGTTTTATGTGCTAGCCTGGTATGATGTTATGTGATAGTGGTAGTAGGGGGGAATAGACCCCGTACCAGGTCGAAAGGACAAAAGGGGTAGGTCAGGTACCCTGGTATGCCTGACAATATGTTTATGTTATGTTGTTATGTGGTAGTGGTAGGGGTGAAATAGTCCCCGCAGCCGGTTGAGATACACCGGAGGGTAGGTCGGGCACCCAGATATGCCTGACATGAGGTAGGTTAGGCACCCCGGTATGCCTAGCAGGGGTAGGTTGAGCACCCCGGTATGCTCAGCAGGGTAAGTCGGGCACCAAAATATGCCTGACAGTATGCTTATAGTATGGTATGTGGTATGATGGGGGAAATCACTAATCTTTGTGCTTACGGTTTACAGTTTTGGTTTCAGGTACCTCTTCTTCGAAGGGGAAGGAGCCGACTTGACTGCAATGCATCACACACATGATTTCCGCATTATGAGATTTCTTGGGATTGTACTCTGACGTTGATATTATATTATGACATGCTTGTGAGACTTATGGGTTATGGTTTTTATGAAATGAAACAACTTGATGATGTTTTCTATAAATTGTTTTATGAATCGCTATATCAAAAATGAAATTTTTTCTATTTCTATTTTTGCCACACATGAAAACACATAGAAATAGAATTTTACTTTCTTAATTAACCATTAGTGTGATGTGTAGAATTTTCTATAAATTGTTTTAAGAATTGTTTTATGAATCGTTATATCCCCTAGATCTATGGATGTAGTCTTCAAAAAAATTGGTTTTACCATACAAAAGAGCTTAGCGGCGCAACTTGTTGCCCGTTTGCCTTCTCATTCGATGATAACTAAAATCGTATTATCAAGTTTGATAAAAGAATAATATAGTAGATAAAAAAACGGCTAAATATAAGAACCATATTTATAATTTATCTAAATAAATGAACTAAAATTATCACTTAATGTCATTATAATACTTAAAGCTATCTTAATTTTTTGTGTAGGGTTACTTGTGATATTTATAAATATCGTATATTTTTCACTTAAATTATTACATTATATCATCCAGTTTTCATTATACACTTGAACAGGTGATACGAAACAACACAGCGAACACACTTCTCTGATATACGCTATGAATCTTCCTTCTTTCTCTACTACTCTACACATATCAACTGGATCTTCACAAATGTCTTCAAAGATGATAACAATGAGCAGAATAACTTCATCATCATCGTCTCCACCGCCGGTGAAGACATCAATAACGTCGCAGCCGACTTCGTTACCGATCCGTACAGTCCCCGGCAGCTACGGATTGCCGTTGATTGGACCGTTCATTGACCGGCTTAACTACGCCTGGTTTCAAGGCTCCGAAGATTTTTTCCGGAAGAGGATTGAGAAGAATCAGAGCACGGTGTTCCGGACGAATGTTCCGCCGTCGTTCCCGTTTTTTCTCGCTAATCCGAACGTCGTTGCGGTGCTAGATTGCAAATCCTTTGCTCATATGTTTGATATGGAACTCGTGGAGAAGAAGGACATTCTCGTCGGTGATTTCATGCCTAGCACTAAATTCACCGGAGATCGGCGTGTTTGTGCTTATCTAGATACAGCTGAGCCTCAACATGAACAGGTATGTTTCGATTTCACAGCATTTTGCGTCAATTTACATATGTTTTTGTTCAATTTAGGGCTATTCAGACACAAAATTGGACGAGTTTATTCAAATCTGCAGAGAATTAAAAACACAGTAATTTTGCACATTTGACCTGTAAATCATTTTCCCAAATCTGCAGCAAATCTACCAGCTCACCGCCTTCACGTTTAATGTCCCCTCAGAATAAAGAAATTAAGATCAGCTTAATAAAAAACAACAATAATTTTATATTTAGACTAATTATTTAAGGATTCAATCAACATTGATGATTGAACAACGATGTTTTTTTGTAAATCGATCGCTTTCATTAGAATACCACCTTATCTCTATTCCTCTAACACTCAAAATCTCCACCATATATATGTTTACACATCTAAAATCATTCACATATTTTCTGATGATATTTTATAGCACTGATTGATAGCAATATGTCACGAAAATTTGATTCACATGTTTTGCACAACTACTGACAAAATAGCAGGCATTTCACATGTTGGTAAAATTGATAAAACAATTTTTGTATATTTTCGCCATTAGGTTGAATGATTTACATTTGAGCTTCTTGATAATGTATTTTTTTTTTCGTTTTCATCACATTTATTTACGGTGTAACAAGTTATCAAAATATCACATGTGAAAATAATCAAATTTTCTTAATTAGGTGGCACGTTATAATTGATGGTGAAGTAAGTTATCTTTATTACAAGTAACATCATATGACTATTTAGATCATATATCATCTATGTCTTGTCAAAAAAAATGTTCAGCTTTTTATATCTCTTGTATTTCTTTTTAGTTTTTTTTTGTTTTTTTGTCTAGTAGACTATTTTATTTTGGCCTCTTAGGTTAAACTCATTGGTTTTCAATTTCAAAATCCGATATAAAATCAGCATAATTATAAAAACAATTAGCAACTATGGTGTTTATTATCCGGATGACATCTGAAAATATAATTTGGTGGGTCCGGCTTTCATATCTTCATGCAAATTAAATCATATGTCGGCCTCTTGTTTTGTTGCATTTATCATTTGTGAGATTCATATCTCATATGTATAAGCAATCAAAGCACGTGATATTCGTGTCATTCGATTTCCGATTTCCTTTTCTAATATACTACAAATAAATTTTAATCATGTGAAACACTGAGCGACCTAGATATTTACGTATAACGTTTTCATCGTTCAATAAAAAATAACCGTTTAAACATAAAAAAGCCATCGTGAAAAAAGACAATTAAAATCTTATCTAATTTTCTTTAATTCACATGTTTTGAGAATTTAATTTTTCATTGATAATGACACAGATAAAAAACTTCACAATGGACATACTCAAACGAAGCTCCACCATATGGATCCCAACCCTAACAACGTTACTAGACACCATGTTTGACACCATCGAATCCCAACTACCCTCCGGTCCAGTCAACTACCTCATACCAATCCAAAAATTCAACTTCTCCTTCTTATCGCGTGTCATCGCCGGAGCCAATCCGGAAAACTCACCGGACATCGCCGCCAACGGTTACATCCGAATGGACCGGTGGCTCGCAGTTCAACTCCTCCCAACCGTCCCAATCACCGCCTTCCAACCGCTAGTAGAAATCTTCCTCCATTCCTTCCCTTACCCTCACTTCCTTGTAAGCAACGACTACAATAAACTCTACGGATTCATCGAGAAAGAGGGCAAAGACGTCATTTCACGTGGCCAAACCGACTTTAACCTAACCAAAGAAGACGCAATTCATAATCTCTTATTCACCCTCGGCTTCAATGCCTTCGGCGGCTTCTCGATATTTTTACCGAGTCTTTTATCTGCGTTAGGATCCGCAGACCAGCGGATCCAGGAAAATCTCCGACAGGAAGTCAGAGAAAAAACCGGATCCGGAGAATCTGGATCCGGTTTAACTTTCAGGGCCGTAAACGAAATGGAGCTGGTCCAGTCTTTCGTTTACGAAACCCTGAGACTTAACCCGCCCGTACCGTTACAGTACGGGCGGGCAAGGAAGGACTTCAACCTCTCTTCCCATGACTCAACTTTTAATATCAAAAAAGGTGAACTACTTTGTGGGTTCCAACCTTTGGTGATGAAAGACCCGAAAATATTTGATGACCCGGAGAGTTTTATTGTGGATCGGTTTATGAACGAGGGGAAAGAGTTGTTGACTTATTTGTATTGGTCAAACGGGCCACAGAACGGGACCCCGGGTGCTTCGAACAAGCAGTGTGCGGGAAAAGACTTTGTTACCCTTACGGCGTCGATGTTTCTCGCACACTTGCTTATGCGGTATGATTCGGTTACGATCGCGGATGGTTCATTTTCGGTCCTTGAAAAAGCAAAGCAATGAGTATAAAAAGTTATAAGTGCTTTTAAGAGTTTTTTTTTAAATGTATGCTTTTAAAGAAGTTAAATATGTATATGGATGTTGTAAACTTTTGTGATTTTGAGAATCTCTTGCAAGATACTCCCTCCGTCCCAAAATTATTGTCCACAGACAAAAAACACATAGATTAAGAAAAACAATCATTAGTTTTGTCTTTTTGAGTAAAATGACCATCTTGCCATTTTCTAAAACCAATGAAAAATGTGCGTTTGTAATTATTCAAATTTACTTTATTTAATGTTAGGGGTAATATGGTAAAAATATATATCTATTTTTGGTAGTGGACAATAATTTTGGGACAAACTAAAATAGTAAGGTGGACAATAATTTTGGGACGGATGGAGTAAATAAAACATGGCTTACTGAAGTTTGTGAGATTCGAACTTAACAACCATTGTATTTTACAATGATGGGATCCGGTTTATCATGTTGAATTCATAAATGGTGGGAGCAAATAGATTGTATTGGCAACCAGCTAAACCAACTAATTCTTTATTTATGTAAAAAAAAGGTATTTATTCTTTACATATACGATCCAGCTATTTCAATTTTTTTGATTATTAGCGATCATAAAATATATAAACAATTTATTTTATTTTAACGTCGACTAAAGTTTTATTATTTCTATTATCTTTTGTTTTAGGA